GGTAGAACCTTGCTCTCAGATCTACCTGCTCTGCTCATTTCAGCACTTGATTTTTAACCTGATCTGTAAGTTTAAGTCATTTCTGTGAATAATCTGATAAAGATTTGCCCCAAGTTACATGAAATACGTACTCATTAGCTTCAAATATTCGCTCCTCTTTAATCCTCTCGCCTGAGAACTCTGTTCTTTTCCGTAGACGCTCTGGACGTTTGTAAGGACCAGTCTGCCCTAAAACACTTTCATCTATTTCCTTCTTCACAGTTTCTACTCCCTGAAAGGAAAGCAATCCTATTAGGCTGATTTACTGTTCCCCCGTCTTTCCCATAAAAATTAAAAATTGCTTCTGTCAAAGGAAAAAGACAAAGATAAGAGCAGGTGTTATTGTCATCGCTCTTACTCAGAGAATCATAGAATGAATCATAGGATGGCCTGAGTTGAAAAGGACCACAATGCTCATCAGTTCCAACCCCTGCTGTGTGCAGGTCGCCACCCAGCAGCCCAGGCTGCCCAGAGCCACATCCAGCCTGGCCTGGAATGCCTGCAGGGATGGGGCATCCACAGCCTCCTTGGGCAACCTATGCCAGTGCCTCATCACCTTCTAACAAGGGTTAGAGGGTGATGACACAAATGCTTCCTTACTGATACGTATGTACAAAGACAGCAGTACCAAGGCTTTCTACTTAACAAATAAATTTTATAATTAGCACAAGTTCAGATGATCTGTGCCTGCAGCACTAGGTCCCAGAGAGAGAGGTGTACCTGAGAAATAGCTTTGAAGGCTGCTGTCTTGCCTAATTTCTCTCCTCCTTTTGTCACTGACTCTGCTGACTGCTTTGCTGTTTTTGCTGCTTCTTCCACACCTTCCTTTATCTTCCGGCCAATATCACTCTTACTTACTTCATCCAAACTCTGGAAGAGAATAAAGAAGACAATTATAACAACACAGGTGAAAGCACATTTTGTATAAGCCTAAATGCAATAGGGCTAACCAATCTAAGGTGAACACACAGTTTATATGTCACAGGAGAGATTTACTGGGACGCAGTGGCTTGGCACTGAAACTCACACAGCCAACAGCTCTGTGCAGAACAGTTCTGACTGCTCACAGTCACACACACGTTTGTAATAGCTGCTACTCATACATACAAAAACTGTTTCTCCTGACCTCAAAGAGAAGGGCCGTTGATGTTAAAACATTCCAGAGCTTTCCTTTAAAACCACCATTTACTACTTCTTAAGATACAGCAGAGGTTGAGATAGCTCTCTGCTATTCAGATCTTCCTGAAGAAACAGCAAATGCATTTCTCAATCTAACATATTCCTATGTATCACCTAGGCTGTGTTTATCAGAGCCAGCATCTAGCATACACCTAATTTTTCTCCATATTTAAAATACTATAACGAAAATTCCACAGAGATTTACTCAAGAGACAGAACTCAAGGTGTAGCAACCACTCCAAAACATCTGATGCCTGGAAGAGTTCAATACATAACAAGAAATGAAGTTATGCTCATTAAGTTTCAGTGCTTGGTCCCACCCTACAAGAGAACTTGCTTAATTGCTGAAAAGTCAATATGCATAGATACAACATCCTCCTTCGTAAGTGCTAAAGAATAAAAGAACCATATGCACCATATTCAACCTCCAAATGTGAAAGGAGCTGCTGGATGCTCTCCTACACAACATACAACAACTAAGAGATCTGTCACATGTTAATTGCTGCAGCTTTGATAGCAGCTCTATCCTTTACGATCTGCAACAGTGATAACCTTTGAAATAGCAACTACCTGGCTTCAAGAAAAACATGATGACAATTCAAATACACACAGAACCTCAGAGATGAGCTCTCTTAAAAAAAAGGTGATTCCACAGCTATGTTTTACCTCTTTAACTGTACCAGTTATTTCTTCAAGTTTCTTTTTAATTACTTCTGAGGTCTTCACTGTTTCAGATTCAATGGTTTTCTGTGAAAAAAAAAGAAAACACGATGGATGAGGGCAGAAGATACTCATTCAAAAATACCTTCATGCACAGAATATCCTATTAGCACTAATTTAGAGAAAAAAAAAAAAAAAAAGAAAAAAAAAAAACCACTAATTAGGGCTCAGGCCTAAATAGAATTAATTGATTTATCCTTCTTCCTAGCACTTTCAGCAAATGAAAAATGCATTCTTACTGAAAAAAAAATCAGAATATAGCACATTCTCAGCTGGATAAAAATCTGTCTTTGAGCAAACACTAACTGAGTAACCAACACAAGCATTTAATTACTGTGAGTAATGCCATTTAATAGCCTTCAAAGAATGCAAAAGAAGTATTTAAACAAACACTGTGAACATTAAATTTAACGTCCCCAAATTTTATCAGCTTGTCAACTGGGAATTCCAGTGAGCAGCCTGCTGGGAGCATTGCCACTAGAAAAAAAACACTCGAGGTCAACCATTCAGCTGTCAGTACTTCCAGCCAAGCAGAACTTCTCATAAAAATAGGCAGGCTAACCACTAAACAGTTCATTTGCATAAAGACTTAAATTTAACATTAAAAACAGAACTAGCTTAGCAAATAGGCAACGAAAATGTCAAAAGAATTCATGAGAAAGACTTACATATTTCCTCCTTGCTTCTCGAAGTGCATCAGACTCTTCAAGCTTTTTAGCTTCATCTCGGAACTTTTTAATACTTTCCTTCATCTCTTTGTTTTTTGCTAATTCTTGCTTGATGTTCTCCACAAAACCTGATATAAAACCTTTTCTTCCTCCTGAAGAGTAACATCTAGACTAAAAAAAATCATTACATGTTGCAGAATCCAAAAAGAAGTTCAACAAGTATCAAAGGCAGCAGAAAGATTTACTTCAGCCCAGCACTAGGTCACTTCTAAGGTACTGGATGTTCTGGCAACATAGGATACATCTAAGTACCCATTAACAGGCAGTTTGACACTAACCAGGCTTGAAACAGTCTGGTAAGCAGAGCACAACTCCTGCCTGTCACTTCAATTCAGCCTCTACAAAACTCCTTGAATTCATGAAAAGGTGAAACTTGCAGCTTGGAACTGCTGCTGCTGGGGAACACCAGTGGGAAACCAGATTCAGCCTGTAGTACAACATTCAGTCATTAGCCAACCTGGTTGATCTCTGAGACAGGCCTGCTCGCTCTGTACACACTGTGGACTGCAGGAACTGGGCATCTTCTAGGCATAAGCCACATGCCACTAATGAGACATTTCTGCAACAAAAACAAGTTCAAGTTAGCACACAATATGAGATGACAGTGGTCCTGAAGAGCCGAGAAAGGATGGCAAGCATCCTGAAAATCGACAGTCACCACTGGGAGCAGATTCAGAGTGCTGCTGAGAAATCCGATCAGGCCATGATCATGCTTGGGATCAGCCATAAAGCTTTGTTAACGTGTTTGAGTAGCGCCACAACCACCGCAACGTTTGCTTTCAAAAAATCAAAGTCGCAGCCCAAGACACGGCGATGCACGTCCCACACTGAGGCAGCCGAGGCGCTCCGCAGAACCCAGAGCCTCCGGGAGCTCAAACCAAACACAGACTAAGCAGGCTCCGTCCCCCCGCTTGGCTTTACTCGCAGCTCAGGTCGCTCTGCCGCCTCTGAGGGACGCCAGCGGTGCGGGTGAGGGAGCGGAAGGGGAGAGCAGCCCCCGAGAGCCGAAGGCCCGAGCGGTACAAGGGCTGAGAAGCGGGAGGAGGCGGCCCCGCCCCACACCGCGCCGGCCCCGAGGCTCTCCAGGCGCCCCCAGCCCCCCGCCCCGGCGGCGGCTCCCGCTGCCCCACCTCGGTCTCGCGGCACGCCCGAGACCCGCAGAACCGGCCCTGAGCGGACGCAGCGCCCGCGCCCCGCGCTCACCCGGCAGCTACCGGCCGCCGCTGCCGCCATTTTGAGAGCTGAGCGTGTGACCCTCGCGTGGCGCGAGGCAGTGACGTCACCGTCGCGGTGCAACGGACATCACTTCCGTGCGGGGAGCGCGAGCCGCTTCCGGGGGCGGAAGTGCGTCCGCTCCGCGGGACGCGAGGCGTTCGGCGGGGAGCAGCAGCGTGAGCAGTGCAACGAATGGAACCAGTGGAACCAGTGCAACCCGCCGCGAACGGACAGCAGGAGCTGCTGGAAAGGGCGGGAACTCCTTATGAGTGAGAAAGCAGATGGAAAATAGCTCAGGAATCGTGGCATTGTCCTGAAGGCATTCCTGGAGCGCGTCACCTCGAAACCTCGGGGGAAAGCGCCCAGCAGGGCCGGAGCGACGCCCCCCTCGGTCACAGGCGGGTCTCTCGATGAAGGACTTCTCTGCTTCTTGCACTGCAATTCAGGAGTAGCACAAAGCAGAGCAGGGCGCTTCCAGCACAAGACGAGTTTGATAGGCTTTAGTTTAACAGCAGCCATACGATTACACTCCAACTTGCTTTCTAATCTTTTCTGATAGGATTACAGCTTAAGTAATATCTTAGGGCAACACAAAAAGTAGCGGTCCTCACTCTTTACTTTCTCAGTATCTTTGCCTCTGAGCCAATAAAGTACAGAACGCAGCCCACAGTAACCACTATCCTGTTACTGTCCCACCTCCTGCCTCCGACTGCAGTGCGTGCAGCCCCTGCTGAAGCCCACATTAGGAAAAAATAAGCACGTGGTTTCTAAATCCACTTTCAGTTCAGGCCTCAGAATGGCACTGACACAACTGAAGGTGCAGGATGCTTTATTTTGTAAAACCAGCAATGCCACTGAAGAAAAATCAGCCCCAGTGCTCCTGCAAAGAGCGATCGTCCAGGTCTGAAGGGGGAATCCAAAGGCTCCCCTGTGCCAACGCCATTAACTACTAACGTGGATCTGCAAGTGCATCAATTTCAAGTCTGTCACAAACTGACAACCAAAAAGAACATTCTTGCTTGACACTTCACAGGAGAAAACAAACTCTAGTTTTACTGAGCTCAGTTTACAGATAGCTTTGCAAGCATAGGATATGCTGCCAGTAATGGATGCAATGACTGAAATCTTTAACTTGCATTTATTATCAAAGTCATACTGTTTACATCTGTAATGTCAACAAGATGCCACAACTACAAAAAAAGATTGTGCACATTGCAGTTTCAATGCAAAAAACAGTAAAATGGAAATCCATTTGTTAAAAAAGTAATTAAAATTACTCCAGAAAGCAACTGAATCATTTTAACACCTTTACATCCATTCAAATTAAAATGGTTAACAAGAAAAATACAAATTCAAAAATCTGGTATCAGTGTTAAAAAAGCAACTACTTAAGCATTTCTATCAATTCGCACATCTATCTCCCTCCCACGGAGCTGAATCCCATTCATCATGCGGCAGGCTCTCTCAGCTACTTCTGGGGACTCGAATCTAACCACACCACATCCTTTCGATTTCCCATTCTCCATCTTGATATCAGCATACAGCACGTGACCTTCAAAAGAAAAGGAAGGTTCTCATTTAACCTAGAACGTACCACTTAACTATCAATTCACAGTGCTCTGCTCGAACCTCAGGAAGCCCACCTTCACAAACCACCACCACTTCGAGACTTAAAGCGACAGGACGGCCATTTTTTTTAAAGGAGTGTTCTCAGTTTGGAAGCACAAATTAATTCAAACTTGTTCTGTCAATTCTCCCTCAAGCATGACGCATCAGAAGTAGATGAACGGAGCAAAGCTAATGAGCCCTGCCCAACTTGCAAATATGTTAATTCGTATCGCAACTGATGAGGGCTGGCACTTGGCAAGCAGTGAATATTAGGGAACAAGGTGAGGGGACAGTAGCTACTGCCAAGAGAAATTCCCAGAAGCAGAACAGCCCACATCCAACAACATTTAGCAATCCTTTTGGCTACTTGATTTGTTTCTCTTTTATTGCTACTATTATTAATTTCTGAACATCTTTTTAAGGACAGTTTCCCCAAACTATGTTCACTCAAACATAAAACGTGTACCAATACTTTCCATTAGTCACTGGCTTTTTGCTATAGAAATGAACCTCATAATTAATCCTGGATTTCCACACCCATTTCTTTCTCTAACCACACAGAGGCTATCCACAAGGTAAGCCATGATATAGAGAGGAGCCTAAACTGAGTAGCAAGCTGAGAGAGAGCGGGCACTGACTGGATTATCAACTGGCCAGTAACAACATTTCTTCTGAACACTGTAGGACTCTCCTGGGCAAAACACTTGTCAACCCTGAGATTTAGTACTTCCAGGTCTGAGTGAAATTTTAGTTAAGGTATTGGTGCCTATGACAGAAGAGTAGTTCCTGTCTCACACAGCTATCAGCAGAGATCGCCAGTGATATAATTTGTAACTTACCACATTCATTAAATTTATCTTTCAGCATTTTCCATGTAAAATCAAAGGGCAGCTGTGAAAAAGAGAAGAACAATTACTGAAGATCTGTTAAATGACCTGTGAGTACTGCAAGCTCTTCAAAAGCTTTCCATCCCAGGGCAGCCACACTTCAACGTGTTTATTTACAGATGCAGAAAGCTGTTCTCCTGCTAAGGAAATAGCTCTCACTCACAACGGTCTCCCTCATTCCACCTCTGGCAGCATCCAATATTAAATACTGTAACGGAAGTCAACAGAACACAGATGAGATCAACACAGATAGGAAGAAGGCTACTCACATTTCTCACAAATATCTGACAAGCTTTTCTGGCCACCCCAGCTGCAGGTCCTCCAGTTCCTCCAAGGGAGCCTGCAAAATTGCCTGCAAAGTTTCCACGTTCCATTTCCATTGTTCTTTCAAAATTGCTTCCCATTGCAAGTCCCATGCGATCTATGCCTGCTCCCATGCCCTGCCCCATAGCAGGACCCATTCTTTCCATATTAGTGGCTCCAATGCGCTCCAAGCCCATTCTCTCCATGCTAGCAGCACCCATACGATCTATTCCTATTCTTTCCATAGGAGTGGCACCTATGCGATCCAAACCAGCAGGCATTCTCTCTATGACCTGACCCATTCCAGTTCCCATTCCAGCAGGGACCATACGCTCCATCCCTATACCCATTCTATCCATGCCGGAGCCCATACGTTCCACGCCTGATCCCATTCTATCCATAGTGGTACCGACACGATCAATGGCAGCACCCATTCTCTCAATACCAAAGCCTATTCCAGAACCCATTCTTTCTATGCCAGAACCCATTCTCTCAATAGCTGGTCCCATCCTCTCAATGTTAGGAGCAATGTGATCTATGCCCAGAGGGGCCATTCGGTCAATTCCAGAACCGATTCGATCCACATTGGAACTCATGCGATCCAAAACAAGACCCATCCTGTCTATTTCTGACCCTACTCTCTCCATCCCATGACCCATCCCAGAAGGTATTCTTTCTATTCCCGAGCCCATACGATCAATGCCAGGAGCCATCCTCTCAATCCCAGGAATGCTGGCATTTCCACCACCTGGAACAAAACAAACAAGTTACCAGTAGTCATACACGGACTAGCAAACTGAATCAGAAAATGACTTCACGATGTGCGCCTTGCTGTAGAATATGCAGTAGTTATTTCAGACAGGAAGAATAACTGTCACTGATGATTCAGGTTACTGTGACTGCAACACGTTTTAGGAGATCACTAATCCTGCCAGACTGTGCTACAGCTGGGCAGAGAGCACTTTATCCCTAATGAATACTCTAATTTACACACACTATGTACAGTGAAAACCATCACACGCAGAAGGAGGAAAGTTTTAAGGCATATGCATACTGGGAGATCAGCTGGCAAAAGTTAGTATTTAAATTTCAGCTGGCAGCTGTCCTGTACAATACACTGGGGGGGAGAAAAAAAAGCAAACTCCACACAAGAATCCTGAAGTACGGCTTCATAAAGCACGCTCAGCCTTTTAGTGTGGAAAGTATGAAAAGGCTGTCTTATGCCATAAAACAGAAGCAAGAATACATTATCTAGATCTGCTACATAAAATTCCTTGGTTGAGTTGTCCTGACTAACCTACGGAGTCTTCTAGTTCCAGCAGTACAAGTTTGGTCTCCTCTCCCTTAGGAGGAGTTCCTATTGTACAAACCACCTCATCCACTGAGTTTAACTTCAGCACTTCAGGAACAAAACTCAAACAAACAAACAAAGCAAAGAAACAAGAAAACCTTGAGTTTGATTTGAGGAGAAGCAGCCTTGAAGAAGCTATCTACTTAAATACTCTATTTAGTGAAGAGAAGCAAGACTCTGGCTTCTGCATTTTTTTCAGTAGTATCTTAAATAAGAAAGAATGGGTTTGACTTGTGTGACATTTATTATTTCTTTAAGAAATATATATTGAAGTTTCTTGGGAAGACAGCAGCAATCATACAGTATTTCTTTCAGCTGAAAGACAGAAGTGTTCTTCATTTAGCTTTAGAGACTGAAAAAGCACTAACCCCACACTGTTAGAGACAAGTCCTGGTTACTCAAGTGCTATCATTCAGTCATTAAGCTTTTTTTAATCACTTTGATAAAAAGATCTCCATTCTTTACATTAAAGATCTAATTTCATAGAGATGTCTCAGTTCTATCAGCAATTCTGCACTACGTTTCACTGTGCGCCGGGTGATTCTGTGATTCTGTTACACCACATTTTTCTTATCTACTGGGTAGACTGCAGGCTGCATTATAAGCTTAGGTCTCACATCAGTCAGAACTCTGCCACACACAAGGCAATTTAACACAAAAAGTCACTAAGTAGCATGTAAGACCATCAAACGTTCTCTGTTCCATTTGAAATCCCATTACAAAACTCACAGATTACTACTGTCACATTATGTCTGATAAAAAAATGAAGTATCAGAGCAGCTACCTACAAAATATGGTCTTTTTTTGTTACAGAAAAAGCACTATTTTCATGCACAGTTCACGTATTTCCAGGAGAAAGCACACGTACTTAGCTTTGCATACTGACCTATTCCTCTCTCCAAGGTCTCTCCAAAACTACGAGACATTCCCATTTCATTTCTTCCAAATTCTCTCTCAAATCCTCCACCCATGGCACGATCCATCTCTGTAAAGATCAAGTTTGATTATTTTCTTCGGGGCACCCAAATAACTTCTGACTGAAGATTTTAATGCAGGCATGATTTTTAAAGGTTAACAGCAAGGCAAACCTCTACTGTGTCCTCCTCATTATTTTGTCTTGTCTTTCCAAGACAAAAACACAACTGACAGAAACAACACAAATGCAGACTTAAAACTCTTAAATGCAGACAAGACAGATGCTTTGCTCTAGAAGACACTTTCTGGTTAATACAGACAGAACACAGTTCATCTTGTTCAAGGAAACCTCAGCAGTCTTTTTTTGTAGTTTAGAGGCAACAAGGGCCTTGCAGACACTGCATCACGTGTGAATCTTAAGTTCTTCCAATAAAAGCTGGGAAGAGGAAAATAACTAGCCTCCATTGCTACAGTTTCAGAAAACAAAAGGACTTCTGTCAAACTCAGGAGCGTGGTCAGTGATAATGGTGAGTAATAGATAACCCAGTGCCTACCACTCATTCTGCCCATGTTCATTCCAGCTGGAAAGCGACCAATGTTTTCCATGCCACCAAAAGGACCTTCCATTCCTAAAAGAAAGTATTTTCCAGGGATTCTTTAGCAATGCATTTCAACTTAACACCACATCTCCCCAAAATGAGCTTTTCACAGATCATTTTCACAGGCATCAAGACAACTCTGTATGACAGATCCACAAAACTCAGTCGGAATTTGGTCACGCTTTATTTCCTAAGCCAATGTCAGGCTTAAGAACATCCAAACCAAGCTCATGTTTTCTCTGAGGTTTTATCCCTTCTTTATACGCCTACAGAAGTTGCTTTTAATACCCAAAAATGAACAAGTCTGTACTAAATAGGTGATTATTTCACAGAGAACACAAATGCCTGATAGTTATATGTGGCTAAGTTTACATGGCTTTCCAAAAACCCAAGCTATATATATTTCAAAAAACACAGCTTACCTCCCATTTTATTCATTCCAAAGCCCATGCCTTCCATTCCCATTCCTCAAAATAAAAGAGAAAGCTTTATATAGCAGATGTAATTTTACAAAGCTTCAGCCATCAGACTGGCTGCAGAAATACAGATCATACATTGCATCCACTCTTTCAGCTGAACATTACATGTGATAGCTCTGAGTAGATCGAAACATTCCTTCTCAACAAATAAAAGCAGTAAGTGGAAAAAAAAAACCCCATAGGCATCTGAAAGCTGAATGTGTGCTACTTTTTAGGTGGCTCTTTAAAACTTTTTCTGTTTAAACATACCCTAAACAAAGATTTGCAGGCCCACTAACGAGTATTAAGAGTAACAGATGGTTTTAAAAGTTTAATGTATATTTGCAGTGTCTGCTGCTCACGCTCAAGAGTCAGAAAATGAGAGCTGTGCCTTGACCATGATTAAAAAATAAAAATGGAGCTATCTGTTAAATTCAGGTTTCCATTATCAAGCTCATTACTTATAGCTCAATAAAATTTCACTTGGCTTTAACACTCCTAATACACTTCAACTCTTTTTGTGGGCAAAACAAAACTATCTACCCTCTACACAGCTTAAAGCTCTCATGAAACAAAGCATAGGAGTAATCTTCTTACCTCCAGGTCCCATGTTGCCCATTCCCATGCCTTTGTTTAAATGATTTGCATCAATAGGTTGACCTCCAGGTCCTAATCCCATGCCAATACCACCAAGACCATCTGAAGAAAATATTCAGATATCAAAAAAGCCTTGTTTCCATAATTTGACAAAACAGCAAGTTTTATTCTTAAGTAATTTACTTCCATTCTCCAAAAAAAAAAAAAAATCTTGCTGTGTTCCCACTTTGGGGTACATAGTTAATGCATGAAAGTGTAAATCCAGAGCAGATGTGTCTCAAAGCAGACTGAAATCTAACCTCAATTATTCTTTCTCATCATCCAGTTTTATCTCACTGCTGAGAAAAGTTGTTTTTCTGTTTGACTGGTTTTAAGCTGACTCCTGAAAAATAACTGGCTAGAACACTGCTTATTTTGTGCAACTCCTCAATCTGAGAATAGAGTGGGCAATTTAGTAGAAGCAACTTCTATCCTTTTCACAATAACACCTTTGATTAACAAATGGCTTATTTCTGTCTTTGCCAAGGTTCTGCCCTTGCAGGTAAGAATTTAAATGACCACAAGGTTCCACCTATCATTATGACAGCCACCTATACAATTCAGAGCACACAGCCAGCCTCTTCCCTACAGAAATGAAGAACATCATTCCCAGACACAGTATTTAAATTTTCCTGTACCCAAGTCAATTATGGATTCCCCAGCCCCAAAATAAAATAAAATTATAAAAACCAAACCATCTCATTTTCCTCATCGTTAATCAGGAAGAAAAAGTTCTTTTAATGCATTTGACCCAAGTAACAGCTCAATGGTATTCTCTGCCTATGAGAATACAACTTCCTTGTTTAGATCTCAACATAATGTTCTTAGGAAGTGTTAAATTTTGCTTTCAAGCACCATGAGATAGCATTCTTCCCCCCTCCCATAACCTCCCCTTCCAAATTAAAGGCCAAGAAATATGTTTCCATAATCAGCTGTTCCACTTAACACAAAGGTAATTAAACTAGAAACCAACGACTTTCTCTTGATTAGGTATATTGTTACAGAAAGTCAAGGCAGAAAAAAAAAAAAAAAAAAAGGAAAGAAAAGAGAGAAACAACCAAAGCAACTCGGATGATAGTGCTACTGAACAAAGCTCTGGCAAATACGCAGATAACTGAACTAAGGGATGGATCAACGAATGCTAAAGCATGCCAGGGAGCAGCACACAACAGAATTTGTTTCCAGGAATAAGAAAACTTCACATGGCTGAATTAACAGAACTACTTTACGGTTTAGAACAGTCAGCCAAACTTGACATTTTTCACTGTATTTAAGCAAATTAAGTTTCAGCTGTAAAGTAGTGGGGTTTTTCCTCACCTCCACACTTCTCCCTTTCAAACCAGTCTCCTTCTGTTCAGTGTTTCATTATATTATCACAGAATAGTTGAGGTCGCAAGGGACCTCTGCAGATTCTCCATCCCAAAGGCCCCAGATGATCTAGAGCCAGCTGCCCTGAACCACTTATCATTATCTTAAAGGATGGAGACTCCCCAGGCTCTCAGGGTAACTTGTTGTTTCAGTACTCAGCCACCCTCACAGAAACATTTCCTTATGTTTAGATGCCTTGTCCCATCACTGGGCATCACTGGAAAGAGCCTGGCTTTATCTTCTTTGCACCCTCCCTTCAGGATTGATAAAGTGGTATAAAATTCCACTGAGAAACCTGAAAAGACCTGGGAGATTCTCAGGTCCTCAGCTCAGCCCTTTAAACTGAAGGAAAAAATGCAAGATATCTAGAACATCCAAGCACACAAAAAAGTGCACACATGTCTATTAGCTGATTATGTTTCCTTTAAACCCTGTTTTTAGTAGGGCTTTTGAATTACACTCGAGACACCTGGAAACTCTGAGTACATTAATGGAATACTGTTTTTAGGATAAACTTTAAGCTACTAAGAACTGAAGGAAGTACCCAAAAAGAGACAAGGCTGATGAACTCATTTACTGTTTTATCCTTTGATATTACTAAAATCATTTGAATTCCAGTTTTCAGAAGTCTGAACCATTTTCACTAGGGCTGGGTTTAAACAGCTGGGTAGTAGTAGAAGTTATAGTTATCTATTATTTAAATTCTATTTATTAATCTCTTCCTGCCCGCATATAGCAGGCCACAGAAGCAGTACCTCTCAAGCCTAAGATTCAAACACCTGCAGACTCAGTAATATGCATAACCCAGGAATATAAAGGAAATCTCTCTAAATGCAATCCTGAAGGCAAAGTGCTTTCAAATTCAGTCTCATCTTGCATGTGTTTAAGTTGCTGTGAAGCAAATTAAAAAGCATAACAGAACATATTCAGTCACGGAGGAGAAACTTACGAGGAAGTTGTTGGGGTCGTTCTGGAGGAAAGAAGTCTCCTTTGGGAAAGGCTCGTTCATCCTAAAAATAATTCAATACATTAAGCTGGTACATGACCCTGGCCTGCCTTCTTGCTAGAATTATTTCTTGCCCCCGTCTAATTACAGAAACTTAAAGCAATCCTTATTGTATTTACCATCATCTTCTAGAAAAATAATTAAATATCACAGAATCACAGAATTGTAGGGGTTGGAAGGGACCTCCAGAGATCATCGAGTCCAACCCCCCTGCCAAAGCAGGTTCCCTACAGTAGGTCGCACAGGTAGGCGTCCAGGCAGGTCTTGAACATCTCCAGAGAAGGAGACTCCACCACCTCCCTGGGCAAATATAACCTTCCCCAGTTATGTGACTTGGTATCACAAGGCATTAGGCCAAGTTTTTCCAACAGAACGTGCATTTCTTCCAGTACTTCAACTCAAAAGCTACAACTGAGATGCAAAGCACAGGGCTGTGTTTGTCATAACATGCTGTTTACTTCTGTCACACCAATCTGGAAGTCACACATCACCCAAAAAAAAGGTCACAAGCACTGTGTCAGTTCAAAAAGCAGTAGGAATTTGAACATACTTACCATTTTTACGTGCATTGGTCTGTCAAACAGCAGCTGCCCATTAAACATTGCTTTTGTTTCATTAAGGATTATCTTGCAAGCATTAAAACCACAAAGAAAAAAATTGAAAAAAATTGAAATGCTATCTGATGCAGAGTTCAAAAGAAACCGCAGAACAAAAGAACTCCACGCCCCCAGCTTAGTTTTTACAGACTATTATTAGTTATTATTCAGACTATTATTAGTTATTATTCAGACAACGAAAAATCCTTCTGCTTTTTCCAAAACTAAAAACCTTCCAAAGCTTACTGATGAAATTAAAATGCAAGTTAAAAAGCAGTCCTGTGATTAAGAATAAATTAAGACACCCCTTAAGACGTGTCTCAAAACCAGTGTTAGAACATCACACTGGAAGCTTTAGTTATTTCAAACAGGAGAAAACATGCAGACCTTCCCACGACTTTCAAATCAGCAACTACACGAATGTCACAGGATTCCCTAACGTTAATATTTTAAGCTTCAGCTTACCCTGACAAGGCTTAACTTTTTATATTTTGTGCGTGTTTGTGTGCGTGGACTGCTATGCAGCAAATCACAGCTTGGACAGAGTAAGGATATGGATGACAACAGAACAAACCAGGTCAAGCCTGTCACATTGCAGGTGGATCTGTTACATTCCTCCCTTACCGCCATTGCAGTAATGTAAGACAAACCCTTTCTAATAAATTGCACTTTATTACCAGTTGTGACCTAGAGACAAGAATTTACTAACAGGGCTACAAAATTCATACATCCACCCTTGTTAATCATTCTGAGCAAGTCAGAAAAGTTCTTTCAAGACGTATTTTTCTTTTCCCCCCCCCCAGTTTTCCTTACATTTTCCACCCACTGTAATGGCTTCACTTACTGCAATAAAGATTCTTAACTACAGTAGCATAATTTACATTTTATCCTGCTTTGCAGCAAACCTACTTAGTATTTACCATTACTACTATTTAAGGATACATATAGCCTGAACAGCCTCTATGGCTTGTTCAAAAGTGACAGTGCCAATTCCACGACTTTTGCCATCTTTATCTTCTAAAATGTCTGCTCGAACCACAGCACCAGCCATGCTGAAGACTTCTTTCAGTTTCTTCCAACCAACCTTGTAATCCAACTGGAAGACAAGTGATATTAAAAGCATGAGAAAGCTTTCCAACAAAAGAATACCTTCAGTGCTCTCACTTTCATTTCTCAGTATCTGCAATAAGAATAAGCAGTGTTCAGATAGATGGGATGAAATGTAAATAACAGGATGCCAGAGAATGCTCCAGAACCTCACGCATTACTCAACACCCTAATATGTAGGAAACAGCAACCTTACTTTACTCAGACAGAGAATCACTGAATAATCAGGTTTGAATAGGGACTTCCAGAAGTCGCTACTCTTAACTCACTGCTGAAAACAGCTCTAATTAGTTCGGGTCATTCGGGGCCACGTTCAGCTCAGCTGTGAGCACTATGAAGCGCACACGGCTGACAATCTCTCCAGACAAGCCCTCCAGTATTTCATCAACTTCAAGGTAAAAAAATCCCAGTATGTAAACAGAAGCACCCATCTTCCAACTCACATACCCTACAAAGAGCTTGGTTCTGTTTTCTGTGTCCCTTGATCAGAGACCTGGAGACAGCAATCAGGTATTCCTTGAGCTTTCTTCCTTTAAAGCTGAACAAACCCAGATCCTTCAGACTTTCCACGAGTTCACATTCTCTAGCCTCCATCTAGCTCAATGTCTCTCCACTGCCTCTCCATCAAATAAGCTGCATTTTCCTCTGCTGATCGTGGTTAGTTTTAGTATTTGAAAACACTGCATACTCTAAAGAATCAGGGAAGTACAATGAGGAAAAAAAATTTTTTATACTACATCCATGACAGCTTTCCCAGCTCTCATTTTTCATTCACAGGAAGCACTAAAAGCTCACTATCCACTCAGCAGGTGTTCCAAGTAAGATCAGTCACAAGAGTTACTACTCATTTTTACTGGGACAGAGAAACTCTACAACTTTTCCTTTAATTTACCAGATTGAACCCAGGTTTTCTCTTCACAGAGCATATAAAACACTTACATTTGCAACAAAGACAGTGCTTCCAAGCCTCCCTGCCTGTAAAGCATGAATGATCTCATTGGGTATGTTGGGATTGTTGAGTATACTAGGTGGGATATTGATCATTCCAGGGCCACCAGGGCCTGGGCCAATACCCATTCCACCAGCTGCCATGACCTTCTGCATTGCTCTCCTGGCATGCTCGCCATCAGGATCCTGCAAGACACAGAAACAACAAATTAAGTTTGCCACGATTCCAATAAATGCACAGGGTCTTAGTAGCATGGCCACAAGTCAAAAGAAGAGACTTTTTATATGGGTCTATCAGGTCCCTGTAGATCTACGGGGAATCACATTGTTATATTTTTATTATCATCTTACTTTTTAAAACCAAAGTATGAGGCCCCTTCAAGTTAGCAAGTTACTCACACGTTTCCCTTCATTTTGAAGGTACCTTTTATTATTTAACACCCACAACAAACCTCAGCCACATTTGTTCTGAAGACAAAATGACAATTCAAAGGTTTTAGAAGAGAAACTGCTATTAACCTTTGGCATTTTGAAAATACAACAACTCATTAATCTTGCAATTACACTTCACAAGACAAGACACACTGTGTAAAATCTCAAAGATTCCTTTGGGCAGCTCCTATACCTCAATGCCCCAAGTTTCCAAATCGAAAAAATAGTTGGGGTGTACCATTATATTACTGTGAGATCTCACATTTTAGGATATTCTTAAAAGCACAGGACGAAGACTTTTAGCAAGGAAATAAAATTATTGTAACTTCACACTGAAAGTGAGAACCTTCACAACACGTGGTAAACTGATGTTGCTTAAATCAGAAATGTCAAATTGTGTTCAGCGAGCAAGTGAAAAAAATCAAAATTCATTCCATTAGTCAGAAACAGATGTTAAGAATAAAAGTTATTTAAATCAAAAAAATATCTTTATCTGAATTTTAAGAAGAAACAACAGCACATTTGTGAAATTGAGGAATGGAGGAATTACACCTTTCTTGATTAATCCAGCAACATCTACTTCAATCAGTCATTCACTTGAAGGCTTTCATGCTTTCCAGCAATGAAACAGCCAACACAGATGTATGTGCTGGACAGTTGGCAAAACTTATGCTAACATTTGTCTACAATAATTTAACTCCTTTCACACAGTCAGAACCCCTGGCTTGGAGAAGTGGTGCTGAACCCCTTACAACTGAAGCATGCTTCTTCACCCATTTCAGCTATCACGTCTGCTCTGTTGGTGCCATTTAAGCAGAAATATTCGAGTACGGCAATCGCTTTATGAAGACTCGGTCAAATCACAACTACTTCTTTACAAGGTCTGATGCCAACTGGGCAACGTGACTTTCAGTTCTAAATATAACAGTGTATAACAGGAAAACTGATCGCACACAGCCCCACTTCAATACCTTTTTCTCCCAAGAGCCCCTCTGAAAAGTCAGTGCTTGGTAAGTTTCAGGTAGAACCACTTTTCTAATGATCCATTTCTACTCTCACTTCCCTTAAAGGGCAGCAAGAGGTCACCAGCAGCAGATGATGGCTTGCAGCAAGACTCAAACCACTGCTCCTCAGAATGCATAAAATCATTTAAACAAGCTAGATTCTGAGAAGTGCTGCCACTTCCACACCACATTCTTTTCCTCAAGTGCTTCTAAGAACACACATTGCTAAGAGCGGACTTTCTGCACACATTTCCCATCTTACACTCATTCAGGTGTTTTTTTCCCCAACCATTCGGGGCGGTACAGGCACAGCAGAACATGAAGCCTGCCTAGCCAAGAACAACTTGCTTACCCTACGGCCAAGAGTCACTGTTAACACTGAAGAAGTCTCTCTTGATTTTTGTTTAATTGGGCCTTTGATGTAGCTACAGGTTCTAAGCTGCTGGAACAGAAGTTTAAACTTGTCAATAAATAAGGATTAACTCATGGTACAGTTGAGCGTGTCACAGGGGTTGACGACAGCAAAGCCACTAGAATGGAAACAAATCTTCAGAGTATTTCAGAAACCAGCTTATTTTATGGAACTGTTTGCAGAACACATTTATCATGATGCAGAATTCAACAGAAAGCAGTCAAGAACAAACAACACTCATGCAAGTTGCTTTTTCAAGTCATATACCTGCATTACAGCTTGCTTTGCCCCAGTTCTGCCTTACTATCAGAAGCAACCATTTTTTAAATCAAGTTTAGTCTAGGCAATCACATTCAAACTGAAGTTCACCAACACATGCTAGGGGTAAAGAAAATTCAGTATCTATTTCAAGGTCACGCTTTTGGTCAAAAATTATCAGCTGCAAATGAGTAAGCCATACTGCTGGACTGCAGAGCAACCCTCTGCCTTTTTCCACGGCGCTGAAAGAACAGATGTGAGTCTTACTTCTTTCACTTTCAACGGTCTTCCACCAAGACTATGCTTGTTCAAAACCTCTGCAGCCTTTTTCATGCTTTCTTCCATCTTGAATTCAACAACACTGTGAAGATACAAGACTTCTAAGAACACTGCTTGTATCTTAAGAGTTACCTCATTTCTTGCTAAAAATTCATAAGTGAACTTACGCGCATCCCTGATGATATCATTTCACAGACGAACAACAAGGAGAGGAGGGAAGAAAAAACAAAGTAAGTAAAAGCACAAAACACAAACAACATTTTTAAAACGTCAATTCACATTAGTTAACTCTAATAGAAAGAAAATGAATGTAATGTTACCCAATTCATTACTTGAATTCCTTGAATTGAATTAAGATATAATTGCTTATGCATTAAAAGGGTTAAGCTGTAGTTTCTGAAGTTGTAACAAGCAGAACTAAGTCCACGTTCTCCAAGAAAAATACCACACGCTCCACATCAACTGTTCTCTGCCATACAGCAAAATCCTGGCCATATTCTCTCACCCTAAATCCATATCCTTCAGGACAGTTAAATGAGCTCCTACTATTTCTTCCTGCAAGATATCTTCACTGGACTGAAGGACTTAAGTCAATTTCTTAACTTAAATGCATATTGCCTTCATAGGTACTTATGTTTACTCTCACAGGAAGAGTATTTTACAGAACCTGCTTCTACACACTGCCCTTACGAATTCAGCAAACCACTACAGTGACATTTTCCAAAACACAAGTATTACTTTAATATTCCATACCACTATGCATACTGCTAGGGTCCATGGGCAATGCAAACAGCCAACACCAACTGAACACAGTGGAAGACCACCCTAACACTGTTCCCATCCCACCACCTCCCCATCCCCACAGCTTTTAAGCAATCCTGTGCTATAGCCATAAGCATACACACTCTCTGCCTCCCTGACCTCCTTTCATTCCACGCCTCTATACAATTACATTTGTCATGTAGAAAATCCACAGAAGAAATTCTCACAAACACTTACCCTTGACTTTCCTTCAGCGTCCATTAAGAGCTCCACGTATGTTACCTCACCAACTACAAATCAGATTCCAGACGACACATATACCAAGGGAGAAAAGCCAAGAAAACAATGGGAATTTAGAACAATCAACCGTGTATGGAGCCTCTGCCTTAAAAGAAAGCCCAGAAACACTCCATGTTCTCTAAACCACAAAACTGGACAATTACAGGTATGCAGTAAAATCTTAAGATTAAGTATGTTCTTGCTTTTCCTCCACTTGAAAAGCTGGCTATTTCCACAATATCTATTTACTCGATCTTCAGTGCTCACTGATGACATTTCAGGCAATCCAAATCTATGAGGAAGTCTGCAGAACGATTTTCCTTCTCTTTGCATGGCGTCAGTCTCATCTCCCCAGCCCAGAACTCAAACAATCATTCACTTTCTCAGGACTTTTCTCCAGTAAAAATCCAAAGAAGGGAGCAGACTGACCCAACAGACCAGAAGATCATTCGCTGCCTACTTCATTCCAGCAACGTAGCCTGTTGTTAAGCCACTGTAAAATTTCAGTCCATGTTTTAGGCTTGATAATAAGTCATTAGCTGTCTGCATATTTGCCTCCAAGACAAAACAACTTAAAGCAAGATGCAAAACAAACCAGAAAACTGTATCTGCACCATTCCTCACAAGATTAGGACTGCTTTTTGTTATGTTGGTCCTTTTCCTTTTCACGCTTTTGTTTTGTTTCTGTGACCACAGAACTATATGATGTACCTCCAGGACACAACTACCGCCATGGCTGCTGCCCTTGAAGTGAGTGGCATACAAAGGTTTTCAGAATCACTCTTTAATAAAAGACTTTTTTCTTTGCACATTCTACTTTTTAAATACAAGAGGACTCCAAGTTGCATTATCTGAAAGGTGGAAAGAAAACAGTATCACAACCAGATGTGAATACTGATAGCATACTCCAAGCAAGAATCTCACATTCAAGATTTTCCTTCACAGAGGGAGAGCGCTCAGCCCCAGCACCCACAGGAGCAGTCCTTCATCAGACACAGACCACCACTGGAATGGACTGTTCCACTTTTTTTTTTTCCTAGAAGCTGGAAGAAAAGGAATGCTTGATAAAATTGCATTTTTCTTCTTCCATTTCCAATTTAAAAGCAAATTAATCCACATCAACATTCCATCCAAAGAGCAGCTAGTTTGACAGACTAAAGCAGTCAGTCAAGCATATTTTCATGAGGTTCAAGCCTGGTAGAGGCAAACAAACCCCTTCAAAATGGACAGGGCAGATTAGAGTGCTCACTAATTATCCACAGTATTATTCATTACTTCAGTGACAGCTCTTGAAATAAAGAGTAACAAAAACCATCTCCTCCCTATAATCTGAACAGCACAGGGTCACACCGTACCCATGGGATTGCTTCCACAGCAACTGAGTGACAGGACTGCATTGTCACAGTCCTGCTGGCACCATCCCTGCTGGGACATGGGCGCCATGTACCCAGCCCAAACATTCAGCATTACCAAGGCATTCTGAAGCCATTCATCTCAACAGCAGCAGCCAATGGAACTTTTATCAAGAACGTGATTCAACAATTTATGCAGTAAGACAACAAATGCCCAGATTGCCTACAAGAGAAAAGCACTCCGTTTCACAGAGCACAGCAATGGCAAGTTACAAGCCTGTGACTCTGAGTTCTCAACAGCACTGCTGAGCCCCTGGACCCAGGGTTCTGTGCTCTGCTATCAAAGCCAGCTCCAGCTCCTCATGCACATCAGCGCTTCCGGAAAGAAGTCTGCCCACCTTGAACATAACATACTAAATATAATTTAACATGCTTTTTTTTTTTTTTTTTTTTTTTTTTTTTTTAAAAAGGAACACCACCTCTGAACAAGCTTTCCTGAAGTCTGATATAGAAGCAGTTGTGCATTACCTGGAAAATTTTGTCAATCTGCTCAGTACTTCACATTCAAGCCCTACAGATGCCTGCACTAAAACTGTAACACACATCTTGAAGGACCTTTGAATTTTCCTGAATAGCCAAAAACCACAAACAAAACACGACGTGTGTGGAGTGGTAAATGACACGGATACTGAGCCACTACACTATTTAAGAAAACAATTCCAGATTGCAGAACTGAAGGGGAATAAAAAAAAACCAACACAGCTCTCTTCAGTTTTTCCACCTGAGCAACATGCTAACTTAACAGTTCTTCCAGGCTTCTTGTTTGAGGCTGGCAAAGGAAACCTGTGCTAGGTCATGTTTTACTTGGCTTCTTTGTAGATTCCAAACCACAGGAACATCAGAACATCAGGAAGTGAGGATATATCAGTGATAGAAGGCAAGGATAGCCTGTAACTTTGCAAAGACAAGCCACAGAGAAATAGCAACAGCAGACAGCTCTGTCTGAAACCTCCTGAGGGCAAAAGGAACACAGTGTGAGGGAAGATATCCTGCATCCACGAGCAAAGAAATTCCATTCAAACACAAAAGAAGATCACTTACAGTACTTAAAAGGAGCCTACAATAAAGATGAGGAGACTCTTTATCAGTGTGTGTAGTGATAGGAGAAGGGGTAACAGCTTTAAACCAGAGGAGGAAAGATTTAGATGAGATGTCAGGAAACAGGAAGGAATTCTTTACTGAGCAGTGAGGCCCGCTGTGTCCCCATGCCCAGAAGCTGGGGCTGGATGGGGCCCTGGCAGCCTGAGCTGGTAGGTGTCTGTGGCACAAGAGGTTGAAAGAGATGGTCATGAAGATTCCTTCCAACTCCATCTATTCCATGATTCTATGAGTGCCAGATCAGCCTCCAGGGGGAGAGAAAGTTACAGAAAATACCAGCTGTTAAGTTAATGGAAATATAATTAAGGAATACGTACTGCACAGTGTTATTACAGACTTCCTTCTTAAAGCTCTGATCTGAGAGAGTTCAGGAACTCAGCACTTCTAATACAGATGATGCAGCAGAAATGGAAACGAGTAGAAAAACTAACTAAAGCAATCTCTACTCTTATTTATGACCAAGTTCTACTTCATACAGTTATCATTTCTCCTTTGGGGAGAGAATGTGAAATCTGGGCAGTTTTATCTGCACTGAAAATTTAGACTTTAAAGCAAGGTAGTCTGAGAGCATTCACACATCTGAGAAACAACCAGGAGAAAAAGCTCAGCTGCAAACATCAGATTTGAGGAATATGAAGTTGGGCAATCTGATTCCCTCTGAAAGGACCAGAGATGCAAGTATCAGCAAGTAGAGAAGCACAGAAAAGGAGGAAGTGGTAAATGCTTTATGTAACAGTAGTTGCTTTGACTCAGTGTCAAAAGTAAATAATAAATAAAGGAGCTTCTCAAGACAACATCAAATTAAACAGTTCCATTATCTCCACTAGTCAAAACAAACGATTCAAAAGAAGGCTGTGCTATCAAAAGCCAGATACCTTTAATAATAGACAATTTGTAATTTCCTAATTACCCCGTCATTTATGGTGCTTAAAAGCTCATGACTGGCAACTGCTAGAAAGTTTCACGGTGGGCAGGGAAGAGACAACACTTGACGCATATAATGTACAAAGATTTAGTTAAAAAGTGAGAAGAAAAGTATTTTTAGCAAAGGGGAAATGGATAATTCTTAGCATAGGGGAGTGGAAGTCTCCCTTTTGCATGAGGGACCAGAAGAAAAAAGCCTGAGCAGTTTTGGTTCTACTCCACAACCCTGAAAAGATGGTTAGAGCAATGAAATAGAGCAACTCGATGGCTGCAATTTATTTGATGGCCTGATCTTAGTGGTCATTCCCAACCTTAATGTGGAAGAAACAGTCAGATCCACCCTCACATTTCAAAGTCTTAATTGAATTATCTACACTGAAAGCTTTAATGCTAATGAAATTTAAGATATTTGCTTAAAATATTGTCAGCGTTAGAGTGGAACTGAAACCTCCTCTGTGCATCTCACTGGAAAGCTGATTGTGCCACCTCCTGAACAAGGTGGCAGACAGCTCAAGAGCATCAAGCACAACTTCTGTTCTTAGTAAAATGGCACAATTTCCATTAAACTGAACTATCTAGGCAGAGATGCCAAATTTAGTTTGTTTTTGTTTTTTAAATACAACAGAACAACATAAGTTTGCACTTTTAAGTGCTATGACAAGGTACCAAATTCCACTGATAATGGTTTTTCAATACATTTAATTGAAGCAGTGCTCTTAGAAATCAGGCTTAAACAGTGCTCACAGCTCTGCTTTGACTCATATTTGGTGCACAGCTGGATTTAAAAGATTCTAAAGCTTACAAATACAACCTACAGACCGTACAAAGTCATGAATGGCAAACATTATGCAAAAGGAAACAAAGAGAAGTTAAAGGCTTGCAATCACCTCAGCTCTCAGCTGCTAGTTTGTTTCTCTAAGAACACTCAGGTGCCTTGCTGTGAGCACAGCAAACCCATTAGTACTGGCAAAGCCCTCTCTGTGCAGTCACCATGCATGTGAATTCATGACAAAAAAGACTTCAGACAGCATTCTCACACGTCTGAAAAGTACCACCAAGTCTTGAATTGCGAAAGTTCTTCCCAACACTGACAAAAAACACACAAAACTCCAGCTCTACTTGCCTTTTAATCACTGCAACTTACTGCAGTACATCTTCTGCTTTGATCAAAAAGTGAATTAAGCTGAAACATCTGCAATTAACAGAAGTACAACTGTTTTGGTTGGGAGACAGTCGATTTTTCCTTCATAGCATCTAGTATGATGCTGTGTTTCAGCTTCAGATGAAAAACAATGTTGGTAACACATCAGTGTTTCAGTCGTTGCTGAGGAGCACTGCACACAGCCCTGAGTTCTGACCTCCCTGTGGAACACTGACGACAGCATGGTTCTCATGCAAGATATTTTACTGGCATTCATTGAAATTCTACTTCCTCATGCAAAAAGAAGAGCACTGAAGCATTGTCTGCAGTTGCAGATTCAATATCAAAAATAAACTGACTAGTACAGAGGTTGTTGTGGAACCTGATGTTGAAGAATGATGGAAGCAGTTCAGGAAGGAAGGAGGTTGAGAGGTCTGCAGAAGAACCATTTTTAAGTAAGTTGAGATAGGAGAAGAAATCCTCTTGTGACAAGACGCTGTTGAGAACTTGTCAGCACACCAACAGAAAGCAAGGGGAGGGAAATGACAGATAAACTAACACATCCTTTTCTCTTCGCCCATCAAAAACTTCAGTCTGAGAGCACACCGTGAATCTTCTCTGGCTCTGAAGCCCATGTAGTCCTCCAGGAATATCTGCCTTGAAGGCATAAACAGCTGCTGCTCTCAAACTGATGAAAATGCTGTGCAGTACCTGGGGTCAACTACAGTAACAAGAGGGCTTCAGTTGTATCTTTAAGAGGCCACAAAGATTCTAACAACTTCAGGAGATGGAGCAAGAGAAAAGACTGCACGTGTAGTTTAGCAGTTGCTTTTCTTCATATAAAGTTTAATCTGCAAAAAGCATTGTTTTCTCTCCTCAAATCTATTCTTACACCTAGGTTCTGATAGCAGGAGAGACACATGCCTGCAGGACACTACACATCTGGCTTTGTAAGTGATTACAACCATTCTAATACAAGCAGTCCCTAGGGCTTCCTGAGATCCCTACCTGTGGTGTGAGCACAACCTTGACTGCTTTGCCACAGCAGAATGTAACCAGCTTTATAGTTCACATTCCTCCTGTACTGTCTGCCATCCTGCTACTCTCGACAAGAAAAGGTTTGAAATACAAAATTCTGTACTAAAGGTATCCATAAATGTCCCAAATTCAATTACTTGCTGTAACCATGCAGTACTGCACAATGTATACCAGCTGTCACGAAGTATTAACATTTTGTTCCCCAAGACAGAGACATTTGAGGAGGGACAGAGTAAGACCCATATGAAGTATTTGATCACATTTACTTTCAGATTCCACTTACACTCTGAAGCCATTCTTCTGAAGCCATCTACCAATTGCCAGCAACCAGTGCTGATAGAACACTGTGTCTGTCAGCCAGTACAAGGGAGTTGCAAACAAGAACACTCGTTAGATTTGTTAACAACTTTGTAATACTGCACACCTGTAATTGAGTTTCACCAACGAATACACTGAAGTGACTGAACTAAGGCTGAACTAAGGCGTTACTCTTGAGAGAAATGTCACCTTTAGAAGATTTCAGATGTGCGCATCTGAAAGAACCAGATCATGGAAATATCAGACCTCCAAAGCTCATATCCTAACCCATACTTACTGACACAAAACAGCTGATGGAGGTGAACTCCTCCCTTCAGTCCCCTGCTACGCCATTGCTGCTAACAGCTTCCATCTTTAGACTGCCAAGCGATGCAGCAGTCACGAATGCCCTACGTTTCCCTTTGTGTACAAATCCATTTCACGTGCTCTCAAAGCCTTGAACATTTGGCCTGTAATTCTTACACTCACAAACCAAGAATTCTAACATTTAGATTTTTCCTCAGCTACATTCCTGGTTCTTGGAACTACTATGCCTTATGTCAAGAAGCACCGATTCAGCAAGTTCAAGCACAGCACAAAAGCACCAATTTGGAAGAAGTCAGGAACTAATTAGAATGAATCACAACTACACAGCAAATCTAAACTGTAATGTTTTAAGAAGCAGTCCCAAAAACCAAGAACAATGCTTCTCAATATTTAGCATATCAACCCTGCAGACAGAATGAAGAGGTTTCAACGTTCCCCTAGGAGTATCTGCTGGAATGAGCAGCTGAACAGCAAGGCAGGAAACAATCTCACATCGGACTTTTCCATCCACGTGAACTGGAGAGAAACCACAAAACACTTGGAACGGAATTCAACACAGCACTTAATGTTAGACATCTACACATACAGATACTCCTATTAACCAATGTATCTCGTGTAGCAAAGTGAAAGCATAGTTTAAAGCAAGAGACCATGCATAATGGGGGCCTGTTAAAGCAGTCTCTTAAGACTGTAATCTTCAGATTTCAGGAAACCATTGGTTGCACCTCAAGTGTCAACATCTCACGTCCTCTAACTATGACAGCTGTCAGGGCTTATAGTCCTTAAGTTCATTGCACAGACTCAGCAGCTCCATTTTGCCTCCAAAAACAGACACTGGAAAACACTTTTGGAAGTGTTTTTCCCGATTCTTTAGGCCACAACTCATGAACCGTCATCCCTTACCAAGTTCAAACAACAGTGAACATTGCTCTCTAACTTGCTAGGCTTATACTATGTATTTTAGAAGTGACCCACAAGAGGAATGGTTGCATTCATAACTCCTAGAATGGTTTGATATATTTTATTGATGGGGAAGCCAAGTATTTTCTGGCCAACCCACTGCATTTCCAAAGCAACTTCAAAATCTGCAGGCTGGGCATCAACTTAAAGAAATAACACCAAGTGAGCCAAAAATATGCATTTAGACTCATCACCACCTGAGTGCAATCAACTCAGTTTCTTCATCGTCTTGAAGAGATGAAGATGATGAGGCCTGCACACTAAGAAGGTTCCCGTTCACAGGTGTAAGTTGAAGAGAACCAGGGATGGGGAAAACAATAAACTTGATTTCCAAAGCCCTATCCATGTTGAGGTACATGCCAAAGCATAAACCTCATTTTTCTCCTTTGCAGGTCACCCTTAAATACATTTTTACTGACATCAACTGGCAATGCAGATCTCTCTCTAAGCCCAAATCGCTACAGAGTTTGGAGACACACATGTAGGAACACACTTGCTAGATCAGCATTACATAACTAAAGTATTACCAAGAGACAAAATTCTTCAGGAAGTTTTACTGCATGTCAAGACTAAAACCTGATAAAACCTTTTTTTTTTTCCCCCACCAATAAGACAAATGCTCTTCGTAATCTCTGATGAAACGCTATATAAGTATGCCAGATGCCTATGGAAGATCTCCCCATCTGGAAGGCTGCCAGAGAACACTGTGCAGCACAAAAAAAAAAGCCTTCAAGGAGACCTTTCCCAAAACTCATGTCACAAGTTCACCCAGAACTTCAACTGTTAAGTTTACAAAGTTAGCAGCATGTCAGACGACAGACAGCACTTGATCAAACTTAGTTGCACTTTACCTTTCTCTTTGACCAGATCTTTCAGAGACTGCCACTTCACATCAAATGGAATATTTGTAATGAAAGCTCTGTATCTCTTGGCAGGATTAGCGTATGGCTCAAAGCGGTTTCCTCCTCTTTTCACACTCTTCTCTTTCCTTTTCTCATTCTGACTCGGTCGTTCACCTTCGCTGCAAACAATGAAAGATAAGGAGAGCAGTAAGCACGCGGACATTCTGCCCCTGTCACATTGCTCCACAGAACAACCACCAAGACTTTCAAGATTTCATCTACTTGTGTCACCCGCAGCACGGTCACAAGAGCAGAGATTGGCGCTCACACAGTCAGTGCTGCACGCTGCATTCTAACCAGGACATCCCAGCAGTAGACAACTTCTATCACCACTACACGCTGCCTTCTCCCACAGTTATTTACGCAGCATAACTAAAGCTGCTGACGACTTCAGATGATGAATCTCTCCAATGCCGAGCAGGCAGAACTGCACATCCTTGTGATGCTCCAGACCAGATATCCACTACTTTTTCCTTAACCTATAATTTTTCAACATCCTTTAGACAAATAATGCGTTCATCCACCATATTTATATTCTTGCACTGTAAGAATTTCAGCCAAGGGATGCTGCATCGAAGCTCTCCTTCAGTGACAACACTTCTTACTCTCCCCCAAATATAGTTTTTGGACAACGCAAATCCAAAGCTGCCAAGCCTTTCAACAAACACCTGGAACAGTCTCCATAACTATCTCAGAACACTAGCTCTAACAGGCCAAAAGTGAGCATGAAGAAACTATTTCTAAACCAACCTAGCTGCCCATCAGGTCTTAACAGGACTTAAGTGCCACTAATCACAGAATGGTTTGGGCTGGAAGAGACCTCAGAGATCACCTCGTTCCAACTCCCTCCCACCAGACCAGGTTGCTCAGAGCCCCATCCAGGCCGGCCCTGAATGCCCCCAAGAGGAGAACAGCACTACTGAAAAACAGCACTCAGTATGTAAAATGTAAGTGTCCAAAAATAAAATAATGAAATACTTCAGCCTCAGCCTGACACAATTTTTTAAATGACTCAATTAACTTCCCTGCTCACTGCGTGCTGTTCAGAAGATGCAAAAACACAGCTTTAGAAGGAATCCAAGAGAACACAAGTCTTAGAACATCACCTTATTTAATTTGTGTATACAATGAGCTTTTACAGAGCCTATGCAGCCCAAGCCATGTCAGAAACTTGTACTTGGGTAAGAAATTTGATTTCTGATGTGAACATACTTCAGCATTAACACTTTTCACTCCTCTAGAACCATTTCAAATCACCAAGCAGATACAACAGCCTGCAGGGTGAGACGTATGCAGTTGTCTATGAAGTGTTCTATTGGAACAAGTTCCTCATTTCCACTGTGTGACAACCTGTACTTCTCCAGTCACAAGCACATGTTAAAATCAAATACACAAAGTGTTGTACTTAACAGGCACAGACATAACAGCAACAGGACTTGTCCTTAAGTATGGCTGTTGTGCTCCACTTGCACAGCAAAGGAGACATAGGTTCAGCACGACAAGTAATATGCTGGAAGGAAGGTTTATAACGAAACACTTTCATTAGTTATCTACAGTATTTAATCCGAAAATGAAGTTTTAGACTTTCCCACTTGATGAAAAATGATGAAATGATGAAAAACTCCAGAACAGGTCAGGAGAATCCTCAGAACTCCTTAACTTCTGTTTGACTGAAGAAATAACACAGAGTTGAGCACACCTGCTAGAAGCTACACCCAATGCACAGCTGTTCCTCAACCTTGGAACTGTGAGACACGGGTAGAACTGCTGTGAAACCTGCTTCAAGCTCACAGTGTCATGCAAAAACATTTTCCAGCTTTGCATTTAAAGCTCTCAGACTATATTATAAACATATCAAGCTGTCACTTATCTCTATAAATAATTCAGGCAAGCAGCACTACCTGCCATTAAAGGCAAATATAAAGCTAGGAATTACTCCTGCAAACATTCAATGTAACAAAATCCAGCCAGGTGAAAAGGAATTGTTTCAGCTACAAAGTTTTTCATTTGCAGGACTTCAGATAAACCACCGCAGCTATCCCCAACACCTAAAAAGCAATTACTGTAAAAGCATGACAGCAAGGTGTAGGGCCACAGAGGTCACTGCAGTTGCCAAACACAAACACAACTGATTATTCAGGACTTCCTGACAGCAGGAAGAAGCGAATTCCGCACATCACCTAAAAATACATCATGTCTGTGTGTGACATTAAGAGAAAGAGGCAACTGAAGTGAAACTTCCACAGCAACTTCACCCATCCCAACAGGGAACTACTCTGAATAACTGTGATCTGTTCACAAAGATAACAGAAGGTATACAGAAAAATAACACCCCCAGGGCACAGGCAAGATCCACAGAAAGTAACACATATAAGCAGCTTTCAGAATACACTTTATTTACTTTGATTTTCCTTGCATTACAGCACCAAGTACCTCAGAACTACCAAAGTGTTACCAAAGAGAAACGACTGTAACTGCACCACCCAGGGCTGCAAGCTGTGCGGTGTAAAATGACCCCAGATAGGAGCACCCTGAGGGATCGAATGCCCAGCGCTCAGGGATAAGGAGCTGAAGGGCCCCCCGCAGCCCCAGCTGACTGCCTTACTGCAGCTGCGGGCTGTTGTGGTTTCAAGACACCTCTCACACTGCGGATCCACACAGCACAGTGTGGCACCTAACAGCACTCAGCAGCTGGAAACGTGAGCTGTGCAGAACCTCAGGAAATCCACTTACAGCTGACCTCCCCGCCAGGATCGCTCACAAAACATCAGCAGTGTTCTAATCTACGTAGCATTTAAGGCCTGGGGACAAAAACTAACAGGGGAAGAAAAAAAAAAGAAAAAAAAAAGAAAGAAATAAAAGCCACAACAGCCTGCAGTCCATATTCCTCAAATTCACAACCAGGAAAACAAAGCTCCGCTCCCTGTGAAACCTCTCCGCGTTCTGTCAGCGTCCCCACACGAAAGCGCTGCGCAGCTGCAGCTTTTCCTGCCTACCACCACCACGCTCACAGACCTCTCACCGTAACCGCCGGATTCTTATCGTTTTTCCCTTTCTGACACCTTCCCTACATCTAATCACCTCCCCCCGCCCATGGCACCGCTACAGGCAGCTCCAGGCCCAAGGCGCGGGAAGGGCGCGTGGGGCGCGTTGGGCCCAGCCGGGCCGGCGGCCCTCAGCAGCACCCTTACCTCTTGGCGGGCGCGTCCCCGGCGCCGCCCGCCCCGTTGGGAGGTGGCGGGGCCGCCGCCGCCGCCGCCGCCGCCGGCGGTTCCTCCATTTTACCCCCGGCGCTTTCGGTGGCCGCCGCTACAGCCGCCGCTGCCGCCATTTTCCCAACGCTGCGCCTTTGTGTGAGGAGAGCCCGCCCCGCCGCCGGGCGCGAGGAACGCCGGGAGGTGGGGAGGGGGGGAGGAGCACGCGAGGGCGCTGCGTCATCTTTTACGTCATTTTTCTGCGCCGTTCTCCTGCTCGCGGCAGTGCCGCACTTCCCGCGAGAGGTCCGTTGCACGGAGAGGGCGCGGCGTAGCCTTAGCGGGGCGCGACGTAGAGCAGCGTAGCGCAGCGTGGCATAGCACGGCACAGCATAACAGCGTGGTACAGCGCAGCAGTGTACAGCATGGCACGGCACAGCGTAGCATTGCACAGCATAGCATGGTATGGCATAGCATGGCACAGTATAGCACAGCACGGTATGGCATAGCACGACACAGCATAGCGCATCATGGCACAGCCTGGCCTGGTACAGCATAGCATAGAGTGGTACAGCATAGCACAGCACAGCACGGCCTGGTATGGCATAGCACATGGCACGGCATAGCATGGTACAGCATGGCACAGCATAGCATGGTATAGCATAGCACGGTATGGTGTAGCATGGCACAGCACAGCATAGCACAACATGGCATAGCACAGCCTGGCATATATAGCATAGCCTGGCATGGCAGAGCACAGTATGGTTTAGCATGGCATAGCACAGTGGCATAGCACAGTGCAGCATAACACTGTGGCATTGCACAACCTGGCACGGTGTAGTGCAGCCTGGCATAGCGTAACACAGCATAGCATCGCACAGCACCACTGGGCTGGGAGTGGCTCTCCACCACTCAGGTTCAGCCTGGATTCTGTTCTGCCCAGCACTGTGCTCCAGGAGGGCTGCGAGGGTTACATCCTGTAGTGTTGCTGTGCACATCAGACCTCCGATGAAGTTCTATCAGCACTACAAGCCACAGCCAGCTCGGGGGTCTCTCTGTGTATGCAGACACCTGAGGGAAGATGCAAAGCAGACAAAGCCGGGATCTGCAGTGGTGCTCAGGACAGGGTGAGAGGCAGTGAGAGCAGAGGGAAATGTCTGAACATTGAGAACCACTGATTGACACCCATTCTTTTAGCACATTGATAGGTTTACAGTTCACGACAGCAGTAATGTAATGGGTGATCAAAGTCACCTGACATTTCAAAGGCACTGATCTGCACCTTACACATATGCTCACAATAAAATACGCAATGATTAAATACTGTGCAACAATTAGATGCTGATCTGTTAGCCTTATGTAGCAGTCACATAGTATTCTGATATGGAATGTGGGTTGGCCATTATATGGATCTCCTCTGGACACTTTCAGACAGTTTGATGCCCTGCTGACTTTCTGGGGCCCAGACCTGCACTCAAGGCTCGAAGTGAAGCTACACTGTGCAGAGCAGAGCAGGACAGCCCCTTCCTTCACCTGGCAGCAGTGCTGGGAACCATGCACTACAGGACATCTGTCAACCAGAAGCCCCAGTTCTCTGTGCAGGCTGATCTCTGGCCTCTCATCCTCTACCTGGAGCCACAGGCAATCCCCAGCAGCATGAAGTCCAGGAGAGCAAGGGCCAAATCCTGTCCCTGGGTGTGCAGCCCCTGGCCATGGCTACAGGAGGGAGATCAGAGGCCAGACAGCAGCCTGCAGAACTGTCATGGTTTTGTGATTTTTGGTTTTCGGTATTCCACATCATAACATCATGTGGGGCACTGGGACTTTAACTGTCAGTGCTCAAGTCCTGGGTACCTGCCCTGAAGAGAAGAAGAACTACATTCCCCAGGGGACCTTGCGGTCAGGGAGAGGAGGTTTAACTCCTGGCAAGGTCGCCTGATCTTTCTTTCTCGCCTGCCCTTCGTCGTGGACACTGCTCCCGTCTCCCTGCTGCTCAACTGGACTGCGCATCTCACCTCAGCGTTGTGGTGAGGCCTATCCACCTTTCGGACATTCTCTCTCTCATTATATTTGATTTATTAGCTTCAATTCTGATTATATTGTATTATAGTGTGTTATCTTGCATTCCGATAATATACTTAGTAAATTAGTTTGTTTCTCCTCAGATCGGTGCCGCTGTTTTAATTATTTTGGGGTCTCCTGTTTCCTTTTTTTCCGGAGGCGCGGATCTGCGGATCCCTCCGCCCCGCTCGTCACGGAACCGGGCCAAACCAGCCCGTAAACCATTGACAAGAACGAAACCTGAGGGTTCTGGTTAAGAGTGAGTAGGGTCTGAGGCAGCAGCGTGCCCTGGAGACCAAAAGCCTCACAGCCCTGAGCTGCTGGAGTTCAGGGAACGTTGGGACACCATTCTCAGCCAAAGGTTTTGGGTTTTGGTGGTGCTGTGGAGCCAGAGCTGGACTCAGGGATCCTGTGGGTCCCTTCCCACTCAGGCGGTGCTGTGATCCTGTGATTCTGAGTGCTGGACTTGCAGCACCCATTTTCGTGTCCCCTTTGGAAAATGTAAGATTTTGATGCATGGCCTTTCCCCTCCCTTCTTCTGCACGGTGATGCCCAAAGCAGCAGTGTGGATCTCTTCACTCTGACACGGCTGTCCTCACTCCTGGGCAGTTGTGATTTGGGGCTGCTTCAACCTGTTTGTATAATGAATATCAGGGTCACAGTTAAGATTTAATTGGGACAGAAATCAAACTGTTTGCAAAGGTGAGCTAAAGCTAAAAGCACACTGCAGAAATGCATGCTGCAGGCAGGTGGCTGAAGGAGCAGTTTCAGCCTGTGGCTCAGCCAGCATAACTTAATTCATTCTTCTGTACAGTCAGTGATATCTGAGGGGAGTTTTTGGTCTTTCTTCAACATAAGTTTTCTATATTTTGTAGCCTTGAGGCAAATAGAAGGGGATCCAAGTGGTTTGACTTGAATTAGACAATATCACAGCAGGTGTTAAACATGTTGATCTTGAAAAACACTCAGAACAGTGGATGATGTTGGACAATGTCACCTCTTAACTGCCTAATGCTGTTTGATAGGAATCTATTTGGAACGGCCTCTGGAAGGCAAAGCCCACTGCCACTAATGACTATGGACAGCAAGTGTGAAACTCTAAACCTTAACACAGGGACACCTCCTTCAAGAGCAGAGGTGCCCCATACGTACTCGTAACATTGAAACTGTGTATAGTGGTATGAAAGCTTTGGAAAGATACAGGAGAAAACATTTTCGTACAGGAAATGCTGCTGTGTGCCATGTGACTGGTTTTGTAACGTATGGATCTCAGTCCCTTCTCTTGTCAGCACTGTTGCCTCAAAGGGGGGGAACTCCAAAGGCTGTAATGAAGAGAGTTCCTACCGCAGTCATGGTTGTAGGGGCTAGAAAATCCAAGCAGTTGTGTCTCAGCTGTCAGATAATGACTCCCATCTTGGAAAGTACCAATTTCAGGAGAAGAGAGGGGACAAGGAAATTGATATTCTAGAAGACAACACTGATCAAGTGCTCATGTTTTTATGTAGGATGATTGGCACAGTGGGAGATATTTGCAGTCAGCTTGTGGTAAGAAGGGAATGGAACACCCCTGTTCTCAGAGGGAGAAGAATCAGAGAAGATCTGCTGAACTTCATGGCACAATGCTTTAATTTAGGCTTCTAATTCTGGGGCCGCTGCCTAGATGTGTTGGGAGTTTAAAGCAGTAGGCAGTGAAGTCATGATGCAATTCTGATTCATTCCTTTAGACGTTTTGTATCTTATATCCTGTGTAGTTTTAGACTTTTGATTCTGTAATGCCTTAGGAGAGTTAAATAGGTATGGCACAGATTTCTGTCTTATAGATCTATTAAACTATGAAACCACATTACTAACAGATTTGCTGTTACAATAGCAGGGACTTAGCCTGCGCAGGCCATGCAGACGCTTCCCTGTCTGTGCCTGGCAAGGCCCAATGCTAACTGATGGACACGGACCAAGGAAATGCCCAATTCTAGGAGGTGATGCACATTTATAAAGTTAAGAGGCAAATGACAGTCTAGTAGGATGAGGGTTTTCAGCAGCTCACCAAGTTCACCTGAAATATGACTGGTGAAGCTTTGATTTTAGCCTTTGGTCTTAGGTTTCAATCAAAATATATTGGATAACTTCAGAGGGAAAAGTGGTTCCAGCACAGGTGATTGATTCCAGGGCAGTGACATACTCAGAGCAGAGCATCTCTTCCTGCATCATCATTTCATGCGGATCATTAAATCCATGTTTGTTGAAGATAGCTTCTCTCTGGATGTTGGGGTAATTTAGAGTTCAGAGTACAATTTCTGTATACGGTCATGTTTCTGTAATCCACATGTGCAATCTTGCCACTCCTCTGCAGGCAGTGAGCTCAGGAGGAATGGTTATGTATCATTTTGTACTACTGAATGTAACAGTTCTTTGTAAATTACTTTTGAACGGTTTGGCTCTCTGGGCTCTTTTCTACTTCTTGGACTCTCAGGAGGTGACCAGGCTGGTTGGTGACACGTCTGGGTGCTGTTGCCAGGGCTGTAGAACACTCAGCGTGCATGGAGGTGATGCTGCAGAGCATTCAGCCGTATCAGGCCGGCCAGAAAAGAGCAGCAGCTGCCTCCTTTGTGTCCTGCTTGGTGAAGCTTCATTTGGCCCTGAAGCAGTTTGGGGCACCCCTGTGTTAAATCTAGAGGCAGTCCAGGTGACGTGACAGTGACAGAGCAATGGGAGTCCACAGCCTGGAGGGTGATTTGGAGCTGTGGGGACGTGGGAAGGGAAATGCATCTGGAGTCTTCTTTGTCGTGAGGTTTCAGAAGGGTGGCAAGGATTGATGCTGTAAAATCACAACACATCTGAGGAGCAGAATGCTCTGCCCAGGCTCATTGTAAGGCTGATCTGATCACTGTGAAAGGATGCATCAAGGATTTGGGAGGGCTCTTGGGGGCTGAATTAGGACACTTCAACTGAGTAACTGAGCATGGCAGTGGTGAATCAGAATTTTTCTTGCCATCAAATTGCTATGGCTC